AGACCCCTTTCCTTTCATTCCTTTGACACCTTGGCAGCACACAACACATTTCCTCTCAATTTTCTTCAACTGAAAACTCTTCAAAGCTTCAAGAACGTGAGTAATTCATCCTCTAACTTGATAACCATGAAAGACCACTCTATCTAGACCTTAAGTGTGCAAAATCGACATACTCCTCGTGTATGGAAGAGAGTGCGGCCGTACACCCCCTTTAAGGTGGCCACACACTCTTAAAACACCCTCCAAAGTGAGAGTTTGACTTCCATATTCGAGAAAAACATGCCCTTAGCTTTGTGTACCTTGGAAATGGCATTTTTGGACATTTTGTGTGGGGTGTATGACCGCACACACCTCTGTACGGCCGCATACACACTTGTGCGGCAGCACACTCCAAGTGTGCGGCAGCACACTCAAGTGTGCGACCACACACCCTAGTGTGCGACCACACACCCTAGTGTGCGACCACACACTCATTCTAGGGCCACAAACACACTTCTAGGACCCTTAACTTGCACTACAAACAGGTATAGACCTAGAACACTTCATGGATGCAAGTATGGACCTTGAAAACACCTCGAAAGCACTTTTCATCATGAGTGTACGGCTGCACACCCACTGGGACGCACACCCATGGCCGCACACACCTTTAAGGTGGCCATGCACCTCCCTCATGCAATCCTTCAAGGTTCTAACACTTAGTGCAAGTAGTCCCAAGTTCCTAGAGTGGTTCTCCATCACATTTAGTGGTGAAATACCTTCATTTGACTCCTTTATGTGTCATTACTTGTTAATTAGGATCAAATTGTGTTCAAGGCTTCACTTGAACATCCCGCATTCCGAATCGATCCTTCATTCAAATCGTCCGAGGTGAGTTCATACCCCTACATTTTCCGTGTTTTAATGTTTTCAGGGGGGGAATACAAGCCAAACTCTAAGTATTTTGTTAAGTTTTAAACTTATTAATGCAGTCCAATGATTTCCATGTTTAATAACATATTCGGATATTTTATCTCTTTTTGTAATATGTTGAGCATAAAGGAAACTTCTATTTTAAAAATCCAACTTCATAGTTTTTAGAAAGGTTTTTACAAAGCATTTTCCATATCAACTCTAATAAACTATAATGGGTATAGTTTGGGATAACCCTCTAGGCAGTCTCTACTTAATCAGATTTCATAAATAAATATATATAAACTATGGCAGATTTAGTTTATGTTATATATTTTCTCAGGAGTATAAAGTAATATTATTCAAGGATAATTATTGATTTATACTGTTTCTCGCTAGTAAACTAGATTATACAAAATTGTGAGGCTCTACTTCAACACTGTACTCTTAGGTGTATAGTGATAAATCCTTTTAGTATAACCAGAGTCTCCTGGAGGGAGAGCGTGAGATTTGTGAATAGATATATTCGGGACTGACAATCCCACACCAGAACTGCTAGCTACAGTTAGGCAGTCATGCCTGTGGTGAACAAATGTCATTTAGCTTAACGCTGAAGAACGTTATAAAGGTCTCTCGGTCATATCAAGTATGGTTATACGACTCGCAAATAAGTATAAACTAATTTTGTTTACGGACTCTCTACCCTTCATTAGTTTTATTTTGAATAATAAAACTACTTTTATATATACTGATAGTATTCAGGAATTTCTAAACTGGCATCTCTACCTCTAGGACAGATAACATGTTTTCTAAAACTGATGGTTTATCTTCTACTAATAGATACTCTTTCAACACTACCTTTCATAAGAAAATATAGGATTTTCTTGAGGAATACTTTTCAAAAGAATCAAAGAACATTCTTCTCTAAAACTAAATGCTTATGAACTCACCAGCTTTATGCTGATATTTTTCAAACTGCTTGTATTCTCAGGAAATTAGTAGACAGGTACTTCCAAGTGTCCAGAGAAGTCGGAGCATTAGAGTCACGTCTTTACCATTTTACTTTGATATGGATAGAACTATGTATTAAACAATGTAAACCTTTTCATATATGTATTCAATGTCTGGTTGTGTCTACTATGCTTGCTATGATACAATTGTTATGATACTACGCATGACGTCCTCCACCCCGGAACGATTCTGCCATCACGGTTTCGGGGTGTGACAGTAAATTAGTGAAACAACAATTTAAGTGTTTTTATAACACTAGATTATGTAATAAATACTTACAAGGTTTCCTAGGAATCAATTAGAGAATTAGATTTTTTGGGTAAGTTTGATGATGTTCTTGAGATGTTTAAAGGTTTAAAGATGATTCTGGGTAAAAATATGAAGATTTGAAGATACGCTTATGAGTTTTAAGAGCAAAAGTGAAGGGAATTGGGGATTGAATTGGATATTATGAGGGTGATTTCGGTGATCATATATATAGGGGGGGGTAAAAATTGACGTGACATATGCCTTGGGATGTGAAATTATCTAATTGGAAGGTGTGCCAAAAGATAAAGTAGGTGTTCTCGGCTTATCTTCCAAACCGAGAACACATGATTTCGGTCCAAAGCACAACCGAGAACTCAAGGTCTTCGTTCAAGGGTGTTCTCGGTCTCAAGGTTCTCAGTCCAATTGAGGTTCTCGGGTAGGAGGGTTCTCGGGCCTTAGGTGATTTCGGTCCTCATTGCTCCATGAAAGGGATTTCGGTTTTGGTGGGTTTTTTATTCCAAAAACCGAAACTCTTTAAGTAATAGAATTTCCATGATTTATTTTTTAACTATTTTTTATATATATTATGTTTGACTCATTTGACTTTGTTTTTAACTTGTTTGACTTTTATTGACCCGAAATAACCGGTTGTTACAAGAGTCATCAAGACACGACTCGAATGTTTCATTCATTATGATCAGTGATAGAAGAGGTGAGGAGCACCGTCTTATTTAAGAGGTCTTTGGATCTTCAACAGGAATTGGTGTAGAAATAAGGTCGTCTATGGAAATTTGACGTGCCACAATACCTAGCTTCACTTCCTCCCATCACAATAGAGATAGGTTGTAAGAGAAAGAAGCGAATTGTGTCCAGAAAGACAAGCTCAAACACAATTCTCTCCTATTTGGACTCATCAGCAGGATGTTTCATGTCATTCAGCGTGAGCATCAGCGTCACGGAGAGAGCAGTTGGCGTTGAAGAATAGATGCATAGTCAGCTTCAACCATATCTACCTAGAAGATGTTGCACCAAAGGATTGACATGATGATCCTTTCCAAAGGAACAATTCAATTAAGATCATTGTCGCGATGAAGACAGAAGATCATGAGACTTAGAAAGTGAAAGAGAAGAAAACACCTAGGCAATGTTAGTAGAACAATATATAATGTATACTCCTTTGGTAAAATGAAAGTTAGAAAGAATTTTTTGAAGCATAAAGGTTTTAGTAAACTAAAAATCAGCAGCATATGTTTAAAATTTTGAGATAGAAAATAGTAATGTAAAGTCATAAAGCAGCGTTTTCTTACACAAATAAAGTTAAAGCATGTAAATGTTATTGAGCCTGAGTGCAGTGAGCACAATTATGTTCTTTTAGTCGAACACATTTCCTTCATTGCAGTCGAAAATAATTGTGTAGCCAGTATCACAAGTTGATTGATGAAGTTGAGATTGCTTTTAAAGCCCTCACTACAAGAAAAAGACCCTTTTACGACGCGCAAACCACAACACTCATTGATTTATGTTACGCAAAAGAGAGTGACATTAAAAAAGTGTCATCTCTTCAAAAAATTTAAGGATTTAGATCACGCATTATTGTGTGCCATTAAATTAGTGTCTTATGTAAAAAAATTAAAAACACGGAGGGCACTTTATCTAAAATGTGTGTCCTCTGTGAACGTCGCTTTATGATTTTTACTCAAAACACGCGTTCTAAAAAATTTTAAATACCCCGCTTCAAGATCCCCCTTCGTTCTCTACTTCCCTCCTCTCTGCAAACCCTAATCACGATACCATCTCTACTCGCGTTCATTCCTGAAGATCACAAAATGGTGACCAACAATTAGGGATTTTAAACCCCCGCCTATTCTATCTAAAAAATTAAAAATCCCCCCTCTTCCAAAGAAAGAAGCCATAAGTCTTCGTCTTCACCCACCTTCAGCGCCTCCAACGCTTCTGTGTTCATCCAACCTATCTTTATCTCTTTATGCATGTCTATTTTCATTTCTACGCTGAAAGAGCTTCGAGGGGAATTATTTGAATGCGGATTTGGAAATTAGGTTTGAGTAATTATGAGTTGATTCTACTGCATTCTTCCAATACGCGATGTATTCTTTTGTTTATTCAAGTTTGGGGATTTAAGTTTCATTGACATTTTTTCGTCAGGTAACGCCTGCTATCGAGAAGATGGGTGGACGCAAAGGGATTAGGAGGAATTCAACCCTAATCTGTGCACCAATAATGGCGGATACGGTGGATCAGATGTTGATTCAAATGAATTCGGCGAAATCTTATGGTGCTGACCTCGTTGATATCTGTCTCTGATTGTCCCTCATGACTTCCACACACAAACACTATCGATCATGAAACGTCTTCAAGGTAATCGTCATTCTCCCTCTTCTTCTCTCTCCTCTTTTGTTACCGCCGAGCAACCTACTGCCTCCACTACCACCATCACAACCTTCTACTCTGCTCCACTTCCATCACTCTATGAGAAAAAACCTAAAACCTTCTACCGCCATCAAAAAAATGCTTCACCTGCTGAATCAACAGTTACGAAAACTACCTCGTCATCCGTCAATCCCAATCAAAACCTAAACCAAGTCATCAATTCAATTCAAAAAACCGTAGGAACCATCCATTAGCTCTACCTCACTGGCTCTTCCTTTAATGTTTCCTCCCAACTCCCGCTTCTCCAACGCCTGTAAGTTCTTTACCTGTGTATTTATCAATTTGATGTATTTTCTTAACACGAGCCTGTTTCTAGATTGCGATACTGACTCGCTATGTTAAATAAATTCTTAATGAAATCATCTACTTCGAATTTTATAACGTGAAGGATTTGTAAGGAAAACATGGATAAAATCTTTGGGGATTGTTCAATTCCACAAGAAAAATCGAATGTTGATATAAACGAGGAGTTGGAGTTATATGAAGCATCTGGTGAGGAAGATGCTTCTAATACACAGTTGAATTCCAGTCAATCGAGACAAAAACAGCTAATAGGTACTTGTTGACTTGTTGACCTGACAATCTTTTGTTTGCTTGAACTTCCATCTCTCATTAATCATGCCCTTGTTGCAGATCCTCCACAACTCTCTTGGAAGCTTATAAAGACAAACATGTTTCTGCATCGCAATCGTAAAAATCAGACTATTTATGAGGTTATTTGTTTTATTATTTATTAGATCTAACATGTAGTGTGTTTGCTAAAATGTGTGTTCTTGAAATGACTATTAGAATGGCAGTGAGGTTAGTACGTCCTTTAAATACACCTTTTGGATGAGATAAACAACATTTTATTTCAGATTTTAGACAATCATTGTGCATTATTTTTGTACTTCTTCTTATTCCAATGTTGATAAACAACATTTTATTTCAGGTTATTTTTGTCTTTGAGAAACTTGTAATTGGTGTGGGCTATTCTGAGTTTTAGTTTTAGTTTTCAGGGTTAATTGCAAGAAAAAGAAATAAAATTTCATTTGTTTTCTTTGATCTATGTTCTTAGGAGCTTTGTGAGGTTCCTTGATGAAAAAAAGTCATCATCTTCTACTGCAAGATATGGCTCACAGGCCCTTCTTACACTCAAATCAAGGAGCCAAAGTCCTAGAGCAAGGTATCATGATAATGTAGTTTTGACCATTCTACCCTTGTATTGGAGTTGATGTTTACCCAATGTAGTTCCAGGTATAGAGATGAATACAGGGGCTATAGGAGGAGAAGTCGCAGCAGAAGTAGGGACAAATATTATGGAAGGGACAGAGATCGTTACAGAAGTAGGACCCGTAGTAGGAGTAGGAGCCCTGATTATCATAGAAGACACAGGAGGGCTAGATATGATGATGATTATGATGATGAGAGAAGCCCAAGACGTAAATGCCCTTATCATTGAAAATAGCATCCGTAAAAAGTTTTTTTTTGTCTATTTAAAGTTAATGTTTTGTTAGGAACCTGATGGACTATTCACTATTCTATATGTGTTTGTTACTTACATAGAAGTACTAGTGTTGAAAAGACTAGAATGCCCTTATCATGTGATGTGTCAATAAACTGATGGATTACACAGAAGCAGGTCTCCTCCACGTAGGAGTAGGTCACCTTCTAGAAGCAGAAGCCCTGAAGGAGGAGGAAATGAGAAAGCATCAGCATCATCACCCCATTCCCATGGTAGAGCTGATTCCAAAAGCCCTTTGTAGCGTTCTGATTCCGATGTAAGTTTTTTTTTACCTGTGGAATCATTGATTCCGGGTGTTGATATTTTTTTACTGATTACTTTTTATCTTATTTTTGACAGGAATAATTTACTGAAATAAGGATTGAAAGATGGATTCTTGAATCATTGATTCCGGGTGTTGATATTTTTTTACTAATTACTTTTTATCTTATTTTTATCTTATCAACTGGACTAGATAGCTCAACAACGTACCAAATTGTGAAATGCATAAAGAATTTTGTTCATCAAACGGAAGCCACAGTTCTGATGGCTCTTCTTCAGCCTGCACCTGAAACATTTGATCTCTTTGATGATCTGGTGGTATTATCAGAAGGTCATGTGGTATATGAAGGTCCCCAAGAACAAGTGCTTGAGTTATTTGAATCATTAGATTTTCAAAAGCCCCTACGTCAAGGCACTGCAGATTTTCTTGAAGAGGTATTTGATTATTTTTCTAGACTATAACTTTTTTACCAGGAAACTTTGATGCTGATGTGTAAATTTATATAGGTCACATCAAGAAAAGATCAGGCTCAATATGGGCTGATACCAGTGATGTAGCATGGACACAACTTTTCTATAGCTAGGAGGAGATTCCAATAGTCTTTAATGATATCCTTTAAAGGACCATTACCTTGCTAGATAAGTCATCAGTATGCTAGATAAGTCTTTAATGATATCCTTTAAAGAGACTTATTGAGTCCTTACAATAACATACTGATGACTTATTTGGATTTGACCTTGAAAGGACCATTACCTTGCTAGATCTCTATAAACATACTGATGACTTATGTCACCTTTTTTATTATCTTTTTCTCAGATATTGCAGAAGTGTTTGCGAGCTTATGGTTTTGATGTCATCTGACAGATAATGGCTGTTGTCAGTTACTTGTGTCAGGTAATTGTAGTTTCTATGGCTGTGGAAACTTTTTTATGGGAAGAGTAATTTTCTCTTAAGATTAAGGTTTTATGTCTAGTGTGACTCATAAAATCTTTTATATATTATTAATTATTATTAACCCTTGATTGTGGTATAATATGTAGGGTTTGCTTGGACCAATGGGGTTGATGAGTATAGCTCCTGCAGAAGTTTAAGCAGAATTTGAAAAGGTAATTTTATTTTTATTTTTTATGAACTTTCAAAGCAACTTTTATTGTTTTACATCACTTGACATTTGATCATTTTCAGCACATGAAAAGTTTCCCTGATAGGGGCGTACATGATTTGCTATCAGAAAATGATATCCAGGTGAGCATAATATAAACACCAATCATGATTGAAAATAAAACTTTTGTTATTCTTTGATTTTCATGATTTCATGCAGATTTTCCGTACCCCTGAAGGGATGCTATCCACTGAGCAAGGCGTTTATATTGCACAGTCTGTAGCTTCTAATAACTTGAAACAAGCAAAAGGCCACTTCAAGACTTTTGAGAACAATGACAACATGGTGATGACAATAACATCATATTTTAATTAATTCTCTTCTATATAATTCCTTAAGCAATGATAATGACATAAAGCATGTTCAGGAAAATGGAAACTCCAATTTTGGAAGGCGAGACACTGGTGGCAAAGAGCGTTCTGTTGTAGGGAAGAAAGATGCAGGGAAACCAACAAAAAAGCCTAGCAAGTGCTTTATTTTTTTTATTATCTCTTTCTTAAACATAAGCAAATGTATTTATATTTTGCTTTTTTCTGTTTTTGGTTAATCTGGATAAACAGGATACATCTAAAGAGGAGGCACGTGAGCTGCAGCTTAATGAGGTGCAACTTAATGAGGAAGACAACCAACAGGGTAAGGCTACTTACTTATCTTATGGCTATTATTATTATTTATTGCTATATGTTAATGTTATTTTTTTATTAATATATAGGTTAATTCGTTCGGAATCTAACATAGCTGGAAGAAGGTCGTGGATACTTTCATTTGGACTTGGTTATAAAAATAGGTTATATAGTTAGGGAAAACCTCTTAATAGCAATGTACAATTAGATCCCCTTAATACCAATGTATTACAATGTATTGTATTTTTGTATGACATTAACTTTTGTGCAATGTATTATATTTTTTGTATATGGTATTTTATTTTCTATTATGAGACATGAAATGCAAATTTAATTTGAAAATTAGTAAATCTATAAATAATATTTTTTTAAACATTTAAAATTATGATACGCAAAAATGTGTGTCATCTTCATTTATGACATGGTCTTTCTTGACATGGGCTTTAATGATACGCAATGCGAGTCGTAAATACGCGTCGTAAGGTTACGACACGCAAATGCATGTCATCTTCCTTTATGACAGGGCCTTCCTTGATACGCAATGCGTGTCGTAAACGCGCGTCGTAAATGTGTGGCGTAATTGCGCGTAGTAAATACACGATGCTCAAAAGCGTGTCGTGTCTTGTTATAACAGGGCCTTCCTTGACACGCATTTGCGCGTCGTCTGAGCGTTTTATGACACACATTGCGCGTCGTAAAAGGCTATTTTTCTAGTAGTGCCTTGACATAGAACACATTCTTCAGCTTGAAAGATCTGCACTTAATTTTTCCAATGCCCTTGACTAATCCTTTACTATTTTCCCCAAAAGCTACAATTGGGCCATCTTTCACCATAAAATCTGTCAATAGGGACTTGAGACCAGTCATGTGTCTAGATCATCCACTGTCAAGGAACCAAGTATGTTCCAGATCCTAATGAGTAGAAGAGACATTCCAGCTTTTCATCATTGATTCTTTGACACCTTTAAGAGTATCAGCGTCACACCTACTAGGACAATCATTAGTGAAATTATTTATAAGAGCCATAAGTCCTTTGACGTATAACCCTTCTTCTTGAGATGCATCATCTTCTTCAACCCATTCCTCAGATTCCTCCTGCTTCGCAATGAAGGCTTTAGGCAGAGATATATTTTACTTCTTCATGTGGGCGGACAAATTCTTGTACAAGACTTCATATCTCTCCAGGCTTTGAGTTTCTTTCTTCTATTTACAATCCCTGGCAAAATGGTCAGGGCTTCCACAGATAAAACAGTTATCTGGTTTCCTTTTCTCTGAGTTAAGCCTTCTTGCTGAACTACCTCCCTTGGACCATGCTCTTCGGACTCCATTTAATTTGTTTTCTTCATAGCGTTTAACAATGAGTGCAACACTAGCAACTAGTTCTTCAGTAATATCATCATTACTTGCTTCGCCCTGATAAGAATCATCAGAGTTGCTGATGAGATTCATTGCTTCTTTTCGGGAGACCAAGGCTACACAATTTTCTTTGTTTGTTTGAGTCCTTCATGATGTCTTTTCGAAGAGCTTTGGCTTCTTCGTAGTTTCGTAGTGTAACATCCCGTTTAAAATAAGATAATTAAATAATAAACCCGGGACCCCGAGAATAATTCTAATTATTATTTAATATTATAATAATCTGAAACCAAATAATAAAATTAGCTAGGAGTTGGTTTTGGGAAGCCAAATGACAAGGTTTGAATCTCCAGGGGTTAAAGTGTAGTTTTGGGACTTAATTTGTAAGAATTTATGGAAGCAGGGACTAGAGAGTAAGTTATGGACCTAAGATGAGAAGATATTGTAGAGGAAGGTCTGATTGGTAACATTTTGGTCTTGAATTGTAAAGGATTTCAGGTGGCAGGGTGTAAATGGTAAAATATGGATTTGCTGTGAAAGAAAGGGGAAAAGGAGGGACTAATGTTGTCATTATGGGATAAAGCTTAAGGAGTCGGGTATATAGCCTCACTACCGTCTAACCCTAACCCTAGGGATCCTTCATCAGCCGCAACCCCCCTTATGTCTCCCCACCGGCGCCTCCACCATCCCGTTTCCGATCAGCGGGCGACCACAAGGACCACCAGACTCCCGCCATGTTTGCTGCCGGCGAGAGGGAGTTCAACGAGTCGAAGATGTTGGGACGACGGGGCTGTGATGGTTTGAATGGGCGACATCACTGCCGGTCGAGTTCGAGCATTCGTCACACAGCACCTCGCTGAAGAGCGCCACCGTTGCATTTCTCGGATTACCACTGCCACCTCTCCATTCACTTTCTTCATCGCTGCTACCATCGACTGTCGCTGTCGCTGCTACCATGTGACTACCTTGCCGTGACTGATTGACCGTCGGCCATTTCACGCCACCAGGTGGGTGGCTACGTTCGTTGGTCATTTTTTGTTGAGTGCTGCTGTTGCTAATCGTTTTAGGCTCGTTATTGTTGGTCGGAAATGTGAAGGGGCCACCATGGCCGCCAGCCATGGTGGCTGCCACCATCTACCACCACCTGCCTCCACAGTATGGCTGTGTGTGTGTTTTTATTAGATTAGTGTGTGAGTGTGTTATTCGGATTGGGTTGTAAACTGTAATCGATGCCGGAATAATAATAGAAAAACTTGAAACCACCACCATGAGGTGGTGGCTGCCGCCACCGTGTTGGGTGGCGGTGTGCTTATGGTGTTTGATTAGTTGGGATGTTTGGACAAAGGGAATAAAACCCTAATGGGCCTAAGGAAACCCCATTGGGCTTAAAGATCTAGTTTTGGGCCTATTGGGCTATGATTGGGTTGGAAACCCTAATAAGGGTTTAGAAAACCTAATATTGGATATTTGAATTTGGACTTATCGGGACCCGCATTTTGGACCATTTGAGTGAAGTGATGAATCAAGCCCAATTTCATTGTATGTTTGGACTTAATGGATTAAGTCCATAATGGGTTAAGTAGGAGCACTTAACCCTAATCGTCATTTTATGTGAAAAACCCTAATTGGGTTTGGATGCTTGTTGGGTCACTTATTGGACTAAGCTGCGGTGGGCCTTTGTGGGTCAATTGGGAACCCATTTATGGGCTAAGGGAAATTATTGGGCTTCAGGATAATACCCATTAGAAAGGCTTGGGCCCAATTTGGAAAATTGGGCAATAAGTGGGCCATGATTGGGCCTTGAGGATTATTAGCTATTAGGCCATCAGAATGCTAATTGTTTGGGCTAGAATAATTGGTTGGGCCTTAAAATAAGTCCATGTAGGGGTTTGGGTCCAATTTGTAAAATTGGGCCATATGTTGGGCTTTTGCCCATTACTTGGCTTTTGGGCCTTTGGAGTGTGATTTGGACCTTGGGCTTGGAACCCAATTATTAATTGGGTATTGTTTGATGTTGACAGTTCGGGAATCTGTCAACCAGCAGCTGGAGTTTTATTCGCGGGACTTCAGCAGTGTCAGGTGAGTCTTCTCACCATACCAATGGGTCTAAGCACGAAGGCCGGCCCATTTTGTAGTGGTATACTTGAAGGGTTTTGAGCATTCTAACACTCCTAAGTGTACATGGAACCCCAAATACCTTGGATCTGTGTTTTCTCTATTATACATGCAAATATGAATATTCCAAGGTATTACCCTATCTATCATACAATCTTTGATACTTGGGTAATAAAAACAAGTTAGAAGACATACCTTTTATGTAGCTTGATTCCTTGATGCTTAAGAGCTGAGTGCCCCAAGTGCGACACCTCAAATGGTTCACACAACATCAAATACACTTGGAATAACTTAGAGAGAAATGAACCACTTCATGAAATCGGCTAGCCCTCACCATTCCTTCATAGTCTCTCATGGTGCCGATTTTCAGAAGAATAAGATGCTTATATAGTGTGTCACAATTAGGGTTACACCATGTAAACCCTAATTGTCATGGCCTTTCATTTCCATGATCCATGGGTACAAAACACCATAGAGCATCCATGGAGTATCCTATGGGTTTTAGCCCAACTAGATAATCTATGGAGCATTAGCCCACTATACAAGTATGGATGATTTACACAATCAACCCATATATTTAATTAGTCTCCTTTTTGATCACTTAATTAATTCCAAATTAATTCTTGATCAATACTAATTAAATAATCTTATTAATATATTAGAACTTATAATATATTAGCAAACCTTAAGTGTTATTTCTCTCATTTTAGTCTATCCAAATGCATGATGCCATGCAACCCAAATGGACCATGCCAATCGGGTCAAGTACATACCAAATATAGTTATGGACTTAGACACTAATCCAACAGTCTCCCACTTGGATAAGTCTAAAACTATTATTGAGCATGACTTCTAAAACTATTATTTAAGCCGTTGTCGAACTCTGACGTTGTAACTGAACTCTGATCTCGTCAATGACTTGTCCATTAGATAAGGGATCATATATTCCTCCATTATAGATATCATATAGACTGAGACATGGATTATAATCATTCTCTCTGTCCATTTGTTGTTTCCCGATTTCCGATTCATGATGACTGACTGATTGAACAAATCAAATCAGTCCTACCTTGGCCAAGCACTCACATGTGTCATCACTAAATCATCGAGGGGCCCACAGATATCGCTTTTATCCCGAAGGTAAAAGGAATGGATAAACTTCGACTCATATGGCTTGTTCTACTACTTGTTGAATCATACATAAAGGCACATTTTATAACATTGAGTTACCAATGCAGTTTCGTGCAATCAATATATAACCAACTCATAGTAACAACTCATATCTCTAGGTTTGAAGAATATAAGATACTATCGTCTCATGATCACTCCTGATAAAATCCATGAAGTGATTCAAATGAGCGTGTGTTGAATCCAATACTCAGAACTTATGAGCACTCATGAGTGTTGTAGCAACTCTTTTCTATGTCCAACAACTTAGACATCTACAAGCCAACTCATGACAGTCTTAATTCATATCTACTTCCAACATATGACCGACTGTGGATGGTTTGAATAACTTAGTCATTCGGAAGAATGACCTAGTTTATTCTGGAAGTTAAAACATGCAAAATAAAACACAAGAATAATTGAATCCAATATGGTATCAAAACCTATGAATATAAATAAAACACTTTTTATTTAT